ACTGGCCACAAAAGTGAGGCAATCCCCATAGAGTCCCTTATCAAAATGCCCAAACCACCTGTTATATTAACATATTTACAGCCCGGTACAAAAGCTGTTTGTTTTTCTTGTTTCTACAGCTAATTTAACAGTCCGAAGCACTTGAAATTAGGGATGGACCGATCCGATCTTACGTATCGGTCCGATACTGACCTAAAGTACTGGATCGGATGTCGGAGAGAAATAAAAACAAATGCAATCCGATCCATTAAATATCACAAAAGCACCTCACAAAACTTGCGACACGGTGTAACTCAGCTCATAACCTTAGCAGTCGGAGCAGTGTGCGTCACGTGACAGAGCGGCTGAGCGTGCGAGACCTCTCAGCGGTCTGGTTCAGCATTTGGAGCCTCGCTACCAAATTAGCATTTCATCGCCGAGAAAGATTATCCCAGAGAGAAGTAAAGCAAGTGTGTAAGTTCATCTCTGAATGTTTGTAAAGCATTCCCACGTTAAGCTTAACAACCAATATATGGAGCGACTGCCTCTTCTCTCCCTCTCCTGTTGCTACTTCAATCATGAAACTGATCAATGATCAGCTGATCGGCTTTTCTGTTCCGACTCCCGTCTCTATTGTTTGTTTTGGCCCACTTTGCACCAGAAAGAGGAAACCAGCGGCTGAACAACAGCAGCACGTTTAAGCTTGATAAGCTGTTGTTAGAATTTATTTAATATTACTTTCTAGACCAGGATCCTTTTCTACGTAGCTGACGGCTTGTAACTGTGCAGGGGCGGATCTAGCAAAGTTTAGCCAGGGGGGCCGATAGGGCATGAACAGGGAAAAGGGGGCACAAAGAAATAGTGTTTTGTTTTTTTAAAACTTGAGTATGAATTTATACAAAATGCAACAAGATATTAAAAAACAGTTTTATTAATTAAAAAATACACTATATCGGATTCATATCGGTATCAGCAGATATCCAAATTTATGATATCGTATCGGACATAAAAAAGTAGTATCGTGCCATCTCTACTTGAAATGAAGGCAACTGAACTTCTTTTTGGTCACCCCTGAGCCAGGAAGCTTCTTCAGTGCTAAAAAACTGATGGACATGTATTTAACCCCAAGTGTGGTTGGAACCCCTGAGAGTCACTGACCCGCCCCTGTAACCATCTGTGAATCAACGCGTGGGTCATTACTGTCATCATGGGGAAAAGGTGTGAATTATCTTCCTGAGACACTGCCCCATCCCTCCAACATGTGAGCTTTTAAGGTCACATGGGTCAAGCTGTGAGTGGGGATCGGACTGCATTAGAGGTGACTGATAGTTGGTGTCTCTGTTTGAAGTGCCTATCTGGATTTTGTTGAGGATTAATGTTGAGGGTGTGGCCCCTTTGACTGACATACTTGCAGACTTGTAGCTGTAACTTATACTTTTAACTTGTAATCGTACTTGAAATTTGTTTCCTTTGTTTTGGGAGTAAAATTCTAATATTTTATTAGTTTAGTTAGGTCACTTCTAGCTCCAAAGAAACAATAAAGCTCTAACATTGAGGCTATGAGATGCATCCAGAATAGGATTCTATAACGTTTTATAAATAAGACAAGAGCTACTAACTGCTCTTTTACAAATTTAAATAACTGAATTCACAACAGTGCACTCACCCATTGGTTCCTTGATAACCCTGTAGTAGTCTGGGGCGTCGTTCGTGTCCACTGGCTCCAGGAATGGCCACGCCATTTTATGTGCCTGCAGAGGTGGGA